GCCTTAGCCGGTTGAGCTATAGACGCCGAGCCTGAACTTTCTTTTCATGGGGGCTTTTATTTCACATTGGATTTTAAAATTTGGTCTATGTCCACCCTTTATGTAGATGACTTGTTCTTAATCCAGTCATACCTTCCATCTCCTCTTCCTACATTTCTGGAAATAGTATAGTGTATTTAAAAGGACACCGTGGTGGCTCGGTGCCTATGGCTCAAGTGGGTAAGGCGCCAGCCACATACACCTAAGGTAGCGGGTTTGAATCCAGCCTGGGCCCACCAAAACAATAATGACGGCTGCAACCAAAAAATAGCCGGGGGTTGTGGCCGGTGCCTGTGGTCCCAGCTACTTGGAAGGCTGAGGCAAGAGACTCACTTGAGCCCAGGAGTTGGAGGTTGCTGTGAGCTGTGATGCCATGGCACTCTACCCAGGGAGATAGCTTGAGGCTCTGTCTCAAAAAAAAAAAGGACACTATGGCTGGGTGTGATGATTCACCCACACACCTATAATCCCAGTGCTGACAGAGACTGAGGCAGAAGTCTCACATGAGCCCAGGAGTTAGAGATTACAATTAGTCATGGTTTTGCCATTACACTCCAGCCAAGCAATAGAGTGAGATTCTATCTTTAAACAATAAAAATAAATTTAAAACACATTAAGCTAGAAAGTCCAGCAGAGAGTATGTTAATTTTGGTGTTCCTACTGGGTAATCTGGGATAAACACTCTGTTATCCCTAAAAGATGGATCCAGCTAAAGGAATATCTCAAGTACCTTCTTGGAGCAATCTGTTAAGGATTTGCTACATCATGGGTTAGCAAAAATCACTTTGTTTTTTTGTTTGTTTGTTTTTTGAGACAGAGTCTCAAGCTGTTACCTTGGGTAGAATGCCATGGTGCCTTAGCTCCCAGAAACCTCAAACTCTTGGGCTTAAATAATTCTCTTGCCTCAGCCTCCCCAGTAGCTGGGACTACTGGTGCTGAGCCCCAAAATTACTTTCATGATCAGTTGGCTAGTAAAACTTACTTGAGCCACTTATTAACTATTTGCCATTCCTGGGCAAGTCAAGTCTTACGCCTTTTGCCATTTTGTTTCTGACTGTAATGGGAGACTAGCTAATTGAATTATCTTAATCTTCTCAAAGTTTTGCTCTTTCCTTAAGAGGACAGAATCCTAAATGAATTCCCTTTTTAAAAACTTTTATTTTTAAATAGATTTAGGGGGTACAGACAGGTGTTTGTTACATGGATGACTTATATAGTGGAGAAGTCTGGGCTTCCAGTGTACGTAGCACCTGAAAAGTGTACATTGTACTTAGCAGGTAATTTTTCATCCTGTGCCCCTTGTGCTCAGTCTCCAATGTTCATATGTCACTCTTATGACCGTGCTTACCCGCTCCTTAGCTCCCACTTATTAGTGAGAATAGATAGTTGTGTGTTTTTTTTGGTTTGTTTTGTTTTTTGAGACAGAGCCTCAAGCTGTCGCCCTGGGTAGAGTGCTGTGACATCACAGCTCACAGCAACCTCCAACTCCTGGGCTTAAGCAAGTCT